CATTCTGCAACTTGTCTGGTCTTTAGTTATTAGTATTCAAATCTAGTTCAAATCTTTTCTTGAGATTTGGCTCTCATGGACTTACTTTCATTTTCTTCATCATCAGTTTGAATTTGCATACGAGCAATGGTCCACAGTCGGCCCCTAGCTTTGTTCTGATGGATGACATTGAGCTTCACCATCATCTCTTTCCTCAGATGTAGTTGATTTGATTCTTGTGTATTCCATCCGGCAAGGTCCATGTGCATAGTCACTGTGTATGTTGTTGAAAAAAAGGCATTTGCAATGAATAGGCCATTAGTCTTGCAAAATTGTGTTTCTGCCAAGGCCATATTTTCCAAATATGAGGGTCAGCAAAAAAGAGGAAGACCCCAAAAATATGGATTGGCACAGTGGCATCAGCAATGTGCTCAAGTGTAACAATCGTGAAGATGGTGCAGTACTGGGCAGTGTTTCGTTCTGTTCATCATGGGGTTGCTATGAGTCAGAACTGATACAACAGCACCTGACAACAACAGCTCTGTTTCTTTGTTCTTTGTAGAGTACCTAGTGGGCTGTTATAGTTTGACACCCATCTCTTTCATTTACATTTTCCATTTCCTGGGGAAGAAGGTAAAGTTAACCCCATTTTACACATGTGGAGACAGACTCCACAGTGTTAAGTTACTTGCCCAATATAACCCGGTTAGCAATGAGTGTAGTCATATTTGAACACAAATGTATCTATTTCAGGAATCCTGGTGTGGCGCTACAGGATAATACACTGGACCACAAGGTCAATTTGAACCACAAGGTTGTTAATTCAAACTCACCAACCACTCCTCAGAAACCCTTTACAGGGTGGCTAGGTCGACAGTTCAACAACAACGTATGTATTTCATACTTGTTGTTAAGTGCCGTCAAGTTTGTTCCAACTCATAGTGACCCTGTATAGAGTTTCCAAGGAGCAGTTGGTGGATTGAACTTCTGACCTTGTGGTTCAAAGTCCAGTAATGATTCTACAGTACCACACCAGGAAGCCTAGCACTCTTTTCTAAAAAAAAATCATGATTGTACAACTAATATGAACCAAGTCCTTACTGTGGGCCAGCAGATACTTAACCTCTACTATCTATCACAACAATGCTACAAAGCCAGGTCATTAGTACTACCTCACAAAGAGGTAGAATACTAAATAAGTCACAAAGAAGGACACTGAGAAGTGAAGAGGTTAGGCCACTAGCCCAGAGGCACACAACTAATTCAGAAACAGAGCTGACTTTGGAACGAGGTCTCTCTAATGCAAAGTACTGGGTGGAGATGCCCTGCTGCTGAAGCTTATGAAACTCACACTGCAAAGTTCCTCAAGACCAAGATCCCTGCAGGAACCCAGCCCAGGATCCCAGCCTGCAAGATCCCAGATCCCAGTGCTTAGTCCATGTCACAGATGCAAGATGAGCATCTTGCACACATGTTTTTGGGAGAAGGCTACACCAGGAACCTCTTACTTCTGACTCCAATAGGGCAGGGAACTCAGACACAAACCACTGGTTGATGACACAAGGCTGGGCAATCTGAACTCTGAGCCTTGACTTATTGGTCTGAAAAATGGGCTAGTAAAAATACCAATCTCAAGGATGTAGTAAGGACCACACAAGACCATAGATGTGAAAGTTTTCTTGTAAACTCTAAAGTGCCCTATGTAATTGAGCTACTATTATTTTATTGGACTCTATTATGGCAACTCCCCTGAAGTTGGGAAAGACTTATAGTGAAGGCACAATGAGGAGGGACACCTGGCAGGCCAGTCAAGGTGCCACAATGCCGAGGTCCTAGCAAGTGCCAAACCTAGGCCTCCATTAGTGAGATGTACAGGGCCTTCCAGGGCCTGGGTTTTCCCTGGGACTTTCAGCTGACTTCTAGCACCTTTTTTTCCTCCCTAAAATGAACTGATACTATCTTTCAGTCCCATCAGTCATGGCTATTAAATCTCAGCTTGGTTGGTGCTCAGTCTAAGAAGGATGTGGGGAAGAAAAGCAGGGGGAGGGTGAAGAAATGTCCATTTCCAGAGCAACTCCTGCGCACCAGGCCTTAGAATGAGCTTTCCTATTTCACGGAATCTTCAGGACTATTAGTCTCATTTGGCAGATTAAGAAAAAGACTCAGGAAAGATAAATGGCTTGCCCAAAGTCACAGAACAACTAAATAAAAACACAGACCCTGGATCCAGGTGTTTGACTTGGAAGTCAGCCCTGTCACCTGATGCATTCTATATTTCAACATATCCTTGTCACCTCTCCCTGCTCCCAAGCCCAACCTTGTTCTGCCTTAAGCTTCCAGGGGCTCATCTCTCTTTACTTTATGAAAATCTAGTCTCCAACCAGAATTCCTTGGCAAACAGTTCATGTGCATGGCTGCTACACTAAGGATGGAAGGTTTGAAGCTATCCTGAAGTACCTCAGAAGAAAGGTCTGGCACTCTGCATCTAAAAAAAGCACCCATATTATCTATAGCACAGTTCTGCTCTGGTACACATGGGCTTGCCATGAGTTGGAGGTGACTCAAAAGCAACTGTTTGGGCTTGTTTGTCATCTCTAGCCAGTGGGGATGAGAGACGTGCTGAGAAACTTTGCTCTGGTTCAGCTTGGTCAGCAAGTGTTGCCCTTCAGGTCCCTAAACACAGATGTGTGTTACTGCTCAGCCAGCTGGGACACCTGGGCTCCTGTATACTTACTCACATGCACTAATTAACCTCAGTGAATCTCAGGTGCAGCCTCTCCTGGTCCTTGGCTCTGGCAAACCAAGTGTGATCATGAATCTGAGATTCCTTGTTGAATTTGATCCCTCCCTACCCACCACACACACACACAAAGAACCCATAACCCCTCCATAATGAGAAAATGACCAAACCAATTACCTCTAATTTCTAGGAGAGTTTAAAACAAAACAAAACAAAAAAACCCCTACTCAGGGTCGTAACTAAATTAAGCCAGATGTTCTAATGAGGAGGACTTTTTGCTAACTGGTTGGCTTTAGTGGTAAGGTAAAATGCTTTTAAGCAAAAAGATAGGTGAGGGATGGAAACAGGCACCTACAGGTCTGATGTCTTATGCCTCCTTCACGTCATCCTGAGGACTACCACCCTTACCCCTGCCCAGCCCCCAAGACTTGCTTTCTCCATCATTCATGAGACTAGCTCTCCTGAGCAGCCAACCTATTTTCATCAGAAATTGTAATGAAGGTCATGGGTCCCCCACCCCCTGTTCTGGGGGTTCTAGAAGGGGGCTGAGATTGTATGAAAGACGTCAGAGAGAGAGGTGAGATGCCCAATACACCAACAGAAACTGGGATTCCTGCAGACAAAGGTTGAGAAGAAAGCAGAGAATGCTCTGGCACTGGCTGCTGCCCCTGAGCTATTCACACTCCCCACTGCCCCTGATTTCACCAGCTCCCTCTCCCAGATCAGAGAATCTGCAAAGTCTAGGAGTTAGAAACATGGACACCCCATCTCTGCTACTTTCTAGCTATGAAAACTTGACCAAATTATTTACCCTCTTGGCCTCTGTTTACCTCTGTCCAAAGTGGAAATAATCATAGGTTCTACCTCATAAGTTTGTCGTAAGGATTAAATGAGTAAGTACATATAGAATACTTGTTGTTTTTGTTATATGCAGTGGAGTCAGTTCAGACTCATAGCGACCCTGTACAGGGTTTCTGAAGCTGTAAATCTTTGTTGTTGTTGTTGTGATGTGCCATGGAGTCGGCTCTGACTCCTCATGGTAACCCTGTACAGGGTTTCCGAGGCTGTAAATCTTTACAGGAGCAGAAAGCCTCATCTTTCTCCCGCGGAACAGCTGGTAGTTTCAAACTGCTGACCCTGAGGTTAGCAACCCGACTCATAACCACTATGCTACCAGAGCTCTTTAGAGCATGTTAAGTTCTCTAAAACTGTAAATTAAAGTGCTAACTCACTCTAAATGAATGTATCACTCAACCTAAAACTGGATAAGGTTAAAGATCATGTCCAAGAGTGGTAGAAGCATACCTAGCTTGTTTTCTCTTGCATCTTGCTATTCCAGCTACTGTAATGGGTGCACAGATGTGTGTGTGTGTGTGTGTGTGTGTGTGTGTGTTTGTGTAAAAGAGAGTGGAGGGGAGGGAAAAAGAATATTCCATTGCTACTGAAAACAGTGGGATACAGAGAAGGCAGATGCTTGTTTCCTTCCTTTCTTTCTGTTTGACGGTTACTTTTTATGCTAAAAAAAATGATATTGTGTTTTTCAAATAGACCTACATTCTTTTTAAAAACCAGCTCTGTAGGGATTTAATTCATGTAACATATAATTCATCCTTTTAAGTGTATAATTCAATGGTTTTCCATATATTCAGAGTGTGGAACCAAGGCAAGGGCTTTTCAGTTTTTTGACAATAGCTCATAGTAGGAACAGTATTTTAAATCTGCAATCAACACACATAAATGAAAAGAGGAGGGATAAGGTATGAAAGTGAAGAGGGTTGAAGGGGTGGTTGCTTCCTTCATCCACCCACAGCCATTGAGTCAATTCTGACTCATAGCGACTCTACAGGACAGAGTAGAACTGTTCCTTAGGGTGCCTGAGACTGTAAATCTATGTGGGTGGTGGGTTCGAACCCACAAGGGACTGCAGTTCCTTGATGCAAGGGTCAGAGTGAGAGTGCAGTCCACAGTCCTTCTTTGACCCTCATTGGAAAAGTATAGTCAAAGCAGGTGACCCCAGAGCCTGATGCCTCCTCTATGGGTCCTTGTGAGTGGGAGAGATTTTAGGGCAACTGGGGAGCAGCAAGATCTCTGGACTTGCACCCTATTCTGGAGCACACTCTTTTTCTCAGATGTCTTCTTGTCCAGGCGACTTTGCTCACTCTCTAGCTGCTTACCCCCACCCCCACACCTCCGAACATTTATCTGCTAGCTCAGCAGAGCTTACATCTGGGCTGGGCTCGAAGGGGAAACTCCTGAGAGATGCCCTTCACTCTGTTTTCAGAATGATTCCCCATCAAGGATGTCTTCAGCCCGGGCATCCCCAAACCACGGGACCCCAACCAGAGTGTCCCCGGCCAGAGTTTCCCCAGCACGGGTATCAACTTCCAGGTCATCGTCCAGCAGGTCATCATCTGCCAGGTCAGCCTCCACAACGGTTTCTCCAACCAGAGTGTATCTTGTTAGAGCAACACCCGTGGGGGCGGTACCCATCCGGTCATCTCCTGCCAGGCCACCACCAGCCACCAGGGCCACCGTGGAGAGCACAGGTAAGGGGGATACAGCAGGGAGGGCAAGAGAAACAGCAAACAATCTGTGGACAGGTGGAACTCTGAGTTGGCATGCTTGAATAATGATGTGATGGGCAGTGAGGGGCCTGGGATATGAGAGCAGGAGGCAAGGAACCATTCCATTAAAACTTGAGATGGTTCAGGTCAAGAAACAGACACTAGCAAAGCAATGTGTGACTCTGGAGGCTGTACCTTCAGGTCTGATTTCAAGGACAAGGGCTTGTTAGAGACACTGGTTTTTCCTTAAGCTTCCCTGTGGAGAAGCCAGGGGAGGTGGAACAAGGCCATTTTCAGTGAGTCCATCTGTAAGCAGATGAGGAAAGGAAGCACTATTGACTGGTTCTGTATGGCTCAGCTACTAGGAAGTCAAGATGCCATGTGGGCCTTGGGGCCTGGTTCTGCCCATCCTAACTCTGCCCTCTTGTTGGGTTTCAGGCTTAGAAGGGAAAAGCCTTCTGAGTGCATAGGTACTGAGAGACCGTAAAAACTATCTGAACTAATTCCGAGGGACATTAATTTTATTGTAGAAAAGAGAATAAAAGAGATGGTTTACTGACAAAGGAATTTACATACAAAGGGCAAAACACAGATGTGTCCAGTGGTGACCAGCTGGATCAGCTGGATCAAGAAGTTTTACCATGGGGCAGGGGGCTAGGGTGTATTCATGGGGTAGTCATAAGTATAAGGGCAATTAAGGGTGGTATGAGGAACTGAACCAGAAAAAGCTAGAAAATCCCAAGGTGCCAGACTGTCTGTCCTCTCCTAGAGAACAAAGGGTTTGGAGTGGAAGGAAAGGTTCCTTCCTAGCATGTTGTTGTTGTTAAGTGCTGTTGAATTGAGTTCGACCCATAGCGACCCTGTATAGGGTTTCCAAGGAGCAGCTGGTAAGCTTGAACCACCAACCTTACAGTTCAAATGACTTTGCAGTCTGACACATTCTCCCACAGCACCACACCAGGACTCCATGGAATCCTTCGTAGCATATGCATACCTAAAGCAGCAGAAGAAGTTTTGGTGTACACAGCTGGAGGAGAGGCTGTCTGCTCCTTCCTAGAGAGCAGGAGCAGGGGAAGGGGTGGGAAACATGGTTCTGAGGTGACCTTGGCAAGGTCATTTTGGAGGGTTCAGTTTGTGTCCCTACACCTCCTCTCCTTACAGACCTCAAAAGACCCCCATCAACACATTATCTGCCTTTGGAGCAGCACCTCAGATTTGGGGTTCCCCTCCATAGCCAGACTTACGACCATATTTGGCCTCGTGATGGACTTTGGTGTCAGACCCTCCTGAATGTGAATCCCTGCTCTGCCACTCAGTAGCCTAGTAACTTCAGGCAAGTTATGTAACTTGCATAAATCTCAGTTTCCTCATCTTCAGTACCCAATTCACAAGATTATTGTGAACATTCAAGAAGATAGTACATGCAGAGGCCTTGCTGGCCCATAGCGGCAGCTCTGTAAAAGGGAGCTGTCAGTAGCAGGAGGTCCCTGGGTGGCACAAATGGTTAGCAGTTCAAACCCACCCAGAGTTATCACAGAAGAAAAGTCTTGATGATTTGCCTCCGTTAAGACTATTGTTGTTAAGTGCCTTCGAGTAGATTCCGACTGATAACAACCCAGTGTAGGGTTTCCAAGGAGTGGTTGGAGAGTTAAGATCACAGCCTAAAATAATCCTATGGAGCAGTTCTATTCTGTAAAGCATGGGGTCACCCTAATTTGGAATTGACTTAAGGGGAAAGGTAGGTGATGGCGTCATTTTCTGGAATAGAGAGTTCCTTTCGGGGTCCTCGTGGGCTAGCCTTGTTTTCTTCCCCCAAGCTCCTCCCACCAAGCTCACTCTCCCATATGTATGGCCCCCTCCTAGGTCTCAGCTTGCCCAAGTTCACCTGGCAGGAAGGCCAGAAGCGGCTACCGCTCATCGGGTGCATCCTCCTCCTCATCGCCCTGGTGATCTCCCTCATCCTGCTCTGTGAGTGTGATGGAGCGGGAATGGTGGGTCTTGGGCACCACCTGACTGCAGTGAGGGTGCACACAGCAGGGAAGAGGGTGGGGACAACACTCCCTAGCTGCCATGCCCACAGAAAGATGCTCCTGCACGTGACCTCAGACCTGGGTCCTCTAGGTACTTTCCAAGACACAAAGTTAAGTGTGTAAGAAGTCAGAAACCTAGGTTTGGCAACCATCTGTGCCCCTTGATATGCAGTTTACATGGGCAAGTTATTCAACCAGCTGAGCTTAGTTTTGCATATATAAGTGGTAGTCAATTCATTCATTCCTTCAGCTTCCTATGTACCTAATAAAAGCTCCCACTAACTTCCCTAAATTATGAGGATTAAATTAAATAGTGTGCATGCATGGGGCAAAATCCAACTCTAAAAAGGCTAGTTAATTTGTTTTTTAATACACACATTAGAAATACTGATTAGAAAAATATCTCTCAGGAATATTCAGCCCATGGGATAAAGTGTTCAGGGGTTCAGATGCCCTCAATGTCCCCACCTTTAGAAAAGATCTCCAAGGACATATCCCAGGGCTCTCTGCCTGGGAGTCCGCAATGAGTCCAGCACAGTGGGAAATCTTAGGAGGGGACAGAGGGAAAGATATATCATACCATCCCTGTCCTTGTCATTGTTAAGTGCCATCTACCCACTTTGCAGTCCAGTGCATTAACCCACTGCACCATGCCAGTCCTTAGGGAGATTATATTCTTCTAGGGGACAGAGTTAGAAATGATGAAGGTCACATGTACATGACGTGTCCCCAGTGACCCTGGCCCATGATGCTTTCACCCATTTTGATAGTCACACTCAAGTGCCAGGGTCACAGGGGTCCTCTCATGAGGGCCATGGGGCCAGATGAGGACCTGGAAGATGGAAGAGCAGTTCCGATCTGGTCTGGGCATCTGAGTGAGTTGTGCAGATGGGGGAGAGAGAATGGGTCTACTTAACCACAGTTAGGATCCCAGGTACTCCTGTGCCACATTGTAAATGGCTTTACATACTAGCTGAGGAACGAGGCAGCATGGTGAGGGGAAGAACAGGGTAGATGAGCGTATTGAAACATGGGGTTTGCAGGGCTGTTGGGGGAAGAGAAATGTGCAGAAGGAGGTGGTATGCTGGTGAAGAGTGGTGCTGTGGGCTAATGTGTCGGCTACAAAATCGTTTGAACTGCAAGATCAGTGGTTCAAGCTCACCAGCTGCTTCTTGGAAACCCTATACAGGGTTGCTATGGGTCGGAATTGACTCGACAGCACTTCACAACAACAACCAGACACACCTGCTATTGCATCCCCATTCTACCACTTAGTTAATTTCGCCACGTTAACCAACATCCCAGACTCAGTTTCTCCACCTGCCTCACAGGTTTAGGAGCCACCATCACATGCTATTCATAGGGAACCTTCTACCTGAACTCCCTGCCCAGCTGGCCCTTCCTTCTCCACCACAGTGTCCCAAACTCCAAGGGAATCCTTGGGCAGTGCACTGGAAGGTGAGATTGGCTCTAGGCAGGAAGAGGGACATCTCCTTTAGTATGATGGGAAGGAAAGTGGAAGGAATACAGACAAAAAGGTCCATCTCTAGACTAGTTTAGGGTAGACTGTTATATTTACGGTTGTTACTATTGTTGACTCATGGTGACTTCATGTCCAACAATACCATAATCAGTTCTGGGTCAGACCATTGTGATCCATAGGACTTTCATTGACTGATTTTTGGAAGTAAATCATCAGGACTTTCTTCCTACTCTGGAAGCTCTGCCGAAACCTGGTCACCATTGTAGCATCGTGAAAGCCTCCAATGGCAGGCAGGAGATGGTTCCATGTGATGTGCGTTGACCAGGAATCAAACCTGAGTCTCAGGCATGGATATGTGGCACCGTAGGATAATCACTCAGCCTCAAGTTCAGTTTGAACTGCAAGGTCAGTGGTTCAAACTCACCAGATGCTCCTCAGAAACCCTATACAGGGTTGCTATGAGTTGGAACAGACTCAACAGCACTTAACAACAACCAGGAGAAATGAGAGCATTACCAAATCACCTGTTGAGGACTGGGTTCATTCTATAGATTCAGAGCTTTTAGTGTGTTTTCTCAGCATCCCTGACAGTTTTTCCAGGCAGGTCTTTAACCCTCAAAGGACAGGGAGCTGGTTTAATTGTGCGGGCCACCTAGAATGTATATAATGAACTCAGGACTGAAGACCAGGCCTCCTGACTTCAGGGGCAGTGTTCTCCATAAACATGTAAGTTCCTAAGCATTCTGAGAGGGTACTACTAACAGTTTCCCTGGAGACTTTGTGCTCAGGGCTTGGGAAGGGAGGAAGAAAAGAACAGAATGGAAAAATCCAAGAGATCAGGAGGGATTAGTATCTGGGTTTTGAAGACTTGAGACACCCTAAGATTGACCTATTGAACACTTTATCCCACTGGCTGAATATTTATAAGATGTGTTTCCAATCAATGTTTTTCATGTTTTGCTCTTTCGTAACTAGCATTTTTGGAGTGGGGCTTTTGTACCAGGTATTGTGTCATTATTATATTCATTCCTCATAACATAATGAAGTCATTATGCGATCTGGGGGAAATATGTTGTTGTTGTTGTTGTTAGGTGTTGTCTAGCAGGCTCCAACTCCTAGCAACCCTCTCTACAACAGAATGAAACACTGCCCAGTCTTGCACCACCTTCACAATCATTGCTAACTTTGAACCATTGTTGTAGCCGTGAGGTCAATCCATCTCATAGAGGGCATTCCTCTTTTTTCATTGACCCTCTACTTTGTCATTCTTGGTGCCCTTCTCCAGGGACTGGTCCCTCTCATAACATGCCCAAAGTATGTGACAAAGTCTCACTACTCTTGATTCCAAGGGACATTTTGGCTATACTTCTTCCAAGACAAATTTGTTTCTTCTACTGGCAGCCAATGGTATATTCAATATTCTTAACCAACCCCAAATTCAAATGCACCAATTCATCTTTGGTCTTTGTCTTAGTTATCCAGTGCAGCTGTAACAAAAATACCACAACTGAATGACCTTGACAGATATTTATTCCCTCACAGTTATAAGAGGCTAAAAGGTCAAATACAGGATACCAACTCCAGAGGAAGGCTTTTTTTTCTTCTTGTCTTCTGTCTATGGGCCTGGTGTCCCTTGGAGATCTCCATGTGTCTTGGTATCAATCTTACACTGGGTTTAGGAGGTTCTTAAGAGAGGGACTCAAGTTCCAAAGCACACGCAGCTTCTGACTCTTCTTTCTTGGTGTTAGTCTGTTCCTCTATCTCTGCTCCCTTCTCTTTCTTTTTATCTCTTGTAAAAGATATAATGCAACGTGACACTAGCCACACTCCAAGGAAACTCCTCTTACATTGGAGCAGGTGTGTGATCTGAGTAAGGGTGTTGCATCCAACTGATTGGCTAAGCACATCAGAACACATCATGTAGATGATTACATCATTCCGTGTTGTCAAATTACATCATTATATAACTGACAAGCCTCTGAAAATCATGGCCCAGCCTAGATGACACATATTTTTTTGGGAAGCAATTCAATTAATTCCTTATTCATTGTCCAGCTTTCACATGAGACCATGGAAAATACCATGGCTTGGAGCAGGCATACTTTATTCCTGAAAGTGATATTTTTGCTGTTCAAAATTTTAAAGAGGTTTTTTGCAACAGATTTGCCCAATAGAACACATTTGATTTCTTGACTGCTGTTTCCATTGATGTTGATTGTGGATCCATGTAAAATGAAATCCTTGACAACTTCAGTATTTTTAAAAATTTTTCATGATATTGCTCATTGGTCCAGTTGTGAGAGTTTTTCCTTTATGTTGAGATGTAATCTATACTGAAGGCTGTATTCTTTGGTCTTCAACAGTAAATGCTTCAGAAACTGAAGTCCTCTTCACTTTCAGCAATCAAATTGAGTTATTTGCACAAATTGTTAATGAATCTTCTTCTAATCCTGCTGCCACATTCATCTTCATATAGGACACCTTCTCAGATTATTTACTCAGCATGAGTCGGGACCAACTCAGTGGCACTTAACAACAACATAACAACAACAATATGGATTGAATAAGTATGTTGAGAAAATACAATCCTGATGCACACCTTTCCTGATTTTAAATCACACAATATACCCTTGTTCTCAATGAATGACTGCTTCTTGGTCTAGGCAGTTTCTACATGAGCATGATGAAGTCTTCTGGAATTTTCATTATTTGCAATGTTATCCCTAGTTTGCTATGATCTACATACTTTGGTGCCTTTGCATAGCTAATAAAACACAGCCAAACACTTTTCTGGAATTCTCTGCTTTCAGCCAAGATCCAATTTGACATCAGTAATTGTTTTCCTTTGTTCCATGTCCTCTTCTGAATTTGAATTTCTGACAGTTCCCTGTAAATGTACTGCTGTGCCCATTTTAAGATTATCTTCACTAAAATTTGACTTTCATATGATACTCATCGATAATTTCCACATTCTTTTGGATTCACCTTTTTTTGGAATAGGCAGGAATATGGATCTCTTCCAGTTGGTTAGCCTTATAGCTATCTTCCATATTTCTTGGCATAGATTAGTGAGTACTTCTTGTGTTGTATCCATTTGTTGAAACATCTTGATTGAAACATCTGTCAATTTCTGCATCCTTACTTTTTGCCAGTGCCTTCAGTACAACTTGGGCTTCTTTCATTGGATTTTGATCATATGCTATTTCTTGAAATGGTTGACCATCAACAAATCCTTTTTATGCAATGACTCTGTATATTTCCCCTCTCTTCTTTTGATGTTTCCTGCATAGTTCAACATTTTGCCCATTACTGTTAAGAGCCTGACTCATAGCAATCCTGTATAGGATTTCTGAAGCTGTAAATCTTTGCAGGAGCTGAAAGCCTCATCATTCTCCCACAGATTGGCTGGTGGACTTGAACCACTGACCTTGTTAACAGTCCAGTACTTATCCTACAGAGCTACCGCACTCCCATATTGCCCATCGAATCCTCTAATATCACAAATCAAGATTTGAATTTTTTTTTCACCTTGAGAAATGCCAAGTGTGTTTCCCTCCTTGGTTTTCTAACTCTAGGCCTTTGCACATTTCATTATAATACTTTACTTTGTCTTCTCCAGCTGCCTTTTGAAATCTTCTGTTCAGCTCTTTTCCTTCATCATTTCTTCCATTCATTTTAGCTACTTTTCATTCAAGAGAAAATTTCAGAGTTTCTTCTGACATTTATTTTGGACTTTTCTTTATTTCCTGTCTTTTTAATGATCCTTTGCTTTCTTCATGTAAGATATTCTTGATGCCACCCCACAACTCATCTGGTTGTCAGTCACTAGTGTTCAATGTATCAAATTTATCCTTGAGGTGATCTCTAAATTTAGGTCCAATATATTCAAAGCTATCTTGGATCACAGGAACTTGTTTTCATTTTCTTCAGCTTGAACTTTAACTTGCATATAAGCAGTTTATGGTCTGTTCCGCAGTCATCTAATTGATGATACTGAACTTTTCCATTGTTTCTTCCCAAAGAGGTAGTCAGTTTGATTCCTGTGTATGTATTTCACCCAACCAGGTCTATGTGCATACTAAAACAAACCTAAAAATCATCAACTCAACTCATCTGGTTGTCAGTCACTAGTGTTCAATGTATCAAATTTATCCTTGAGGTGATCTCTAAATTTAGGTCCAATATATTCAAAGCTATCTTGGATCACAGGAACTTGTTTTCATTTTCTTCAGCTTGAACTTTAACTTGCATATAAGCAGTTTATGGTCTGTTCCGCAGTCATCTAATTGATGATACTGAACTTTTCCATTGTTTCTTCCCAAAGAGGTAGTCAGTTTGATTCCTGTGTATGTATTTCACCCAACCAGGTCTATGTGCATACTAAAACAAACCTAAAAATCATCAACTCCACTGCTATTGAATAGATTCTGACTCATAGCAACCCCACAGGACAGAGTAGAACTGCTTCTTAGAGTTTCCAAGGTTGTTCTACTCTTCTAAATCTTTTTGGAAGCAGATGTCCTCATCTTCTTCCTGCAGGACAGCTGGTAGGTTCAGACCACCAACCTATCAGTTAGCAGCTCAATGCTTAACCCACTGACCCACCAGATTTTGTTTATGTTGTTTAAAAAAGGTATTTCCAATAAATAGGTCACTGGTCTTATAAAATTCTATCATATGATTGCCAGTGTCATTTCTACTACCAAGGCCATATTCCCAACTACTGATCCTTCTTTGTTTTCAATTTTTACATTCAAATCATCATTTATAATCTATACATCTTGATTGCTGTGCTGATCAATTTTAGACTACAGAAGTTGGTAAAAACATCCAAAATCTTTTTCATCTTTGGCATTAGTGAGGATGCCTAAATTTGAATATTAGTCCTATTAACTGGTCTTCCTTGGAGGTATTTGGGTATTATCTTATCATTACATTGTGCTTCAGCATTGTATTTCAGGGTAGATCTTAAAATGTTCTTCTTGACAATGAATGTGACGCTGTTTGTCTTCAGTTTGTAATTCCTGGCATATGACTGTAATTGTCTAACTCAAAAGGACTGATATCAGCCCATATCAGACCACTAATGCTTATGATATATATCTTCTAGTGTTCCGTTTCATTTTGACAACTTTTAGTTTCCCTAGATTCATACATCATACCTTCCTGGTTCCAATCACTAATGGATGTTTGCAACTGTTTCTTTTCATTTTGAGCCGTGCCACATTAGCAAAGTTCCGAAAGCATTATTCCCTCCAAGTCATTAAGATTGACTCTACTTTGAGGATGAAACTCTTCGCCACTTGTATTTCGAATGCCTTTCAAAGATGAGAAGCTCATCTTCTAGCACCGCATCAGACAATGCTCCACTGTTAATTATAAAGCTCTCACTGGCCAATTTTTTAAGTAGATAGCCAGGTCCTTCTTCCTACTTTGCTCTTAGTCTAGAAACTCCAACTCCATTGAAACCTGTCTCATGGTAACCCTGTTAGTATTTGAAATACCAGTGGCATAACTTCTAGCATCATACCATTAAGCAAGCCACCACAGTAGGACAAACTGACAGATGAGTTGATGGGTGGGGAGCTAGGGGATTTCAAACCTTCACCTTAGGTGACTTAGAGCATGGTGAGGCCAGCAAGAGAAACGAAGAGTTGGGGACAAAGAGTTGGTTAAGGATAAAAATCAGGGTGAGGAGTTAGAACTGGGTTTGGTTGACTTGACAGAGGCCACACTTGGCCATACAAGGGCAAGTTTCACCAGGCAGTAAGGTTGACAGAGACCCTAGTTTAGTGTGATGTTAGATAAAGAAGTCATAAAGTGTATTTGCACATATAGTTTGTAAATATGTTTTCTTTTAGACATAACTTGGGAATCAACCACTTGGCATTGATCATTGAATGAGAAGATATTTAAAGGCATAAACACAAATAATGGAGTGAGTACTGAGTATAGGCAGCATGTCTTGTTTAGGGGAGAGAAAGAAGAGAAAACCTAAGGACTTTGAAGTTAGAGGAATAGTAGACTTCACAACAACCAGGCAGGTGATGGCTGCATTTATGTGACTGAAAATAAAAGTCCTCTCTGCTGAGACCCTATGGAGCACAGACAAGAGGGATGTCAGGAAGATACTGAGAAGGGAAAACTGGAGGAAGTGGTTTCTCTGGTTACCACCCAGAATACCATATAGGGCAAGGAGCTCCCAAAGTAGTACCCATCTCCAGATACAGCTCTCTTCCTCTATTTCTCTCTTTCTCTCTGGGTGGCTGGCTGCTCCAGTCTGCCTGGTGTTGCCCTGCTTTCAGGAGCTTTCTGGAGCATTCTGGAGCATTTCTGAGCAGCCTTTCTCTCCATACAGATGGGGGACGAGAGCCCCAGAGTCCAAGAGGGATTGCAGGTCGGTGTCTCAGAACCCCCAGGGTCTTGGGCTGCTCAGTGTCTTATCTCTCTGAGACTGGCCATGAACCCAACTGTCTACTTCTTTTTTACCAGTCTACTTCTGGCGAGGCCCCATAGGGATCAAGTACAAGGAGCCGGTGGAGAGCTGCCCCAAGCATGCTGTGCGCTGTGATGGGGTGGTGGACTGCAAACTCAAGAGTGATGAGCTGGGCTGCGGTAAGGAGACTGAACGTGGCTGTGTGTGCAGGTGTGTGTATACACATGAGTGCGTCTGCACATACATGTGTACATAGTGTGTATATACTCTGATAGCTGCAAATTGTGGTGGAAACTATAACAGCTCAAGCGTGAGGCAGTGGACAGGGAGATTAAAGGATTGGGTTCTAGTGAAAGCAGATTTGAGTTTAAACCGAGGTTAGAGTGCTTTGTGACTTGGGGAGATGCCTGTCTTCTCTGGGCTTCAGTTTCCTAATTTGTCAAGTAAGTGGATGTTGTTTTTGTTGTTGTTGTTAAGTGCCGCCAAGTTGGTTACGACTTATAGCTACCCATATAAGATTTCTGAGGGGCGGCTAGTAGGTTTGAACTGCAGATCTTGTGGTTCAAATTGACCTTGTGGTCTGGTGCTTATCCTATTTTGCTACACCAGGACTCCAGTTAGTGGATGGTGGCTATGTGCCGTGGAGTCGATTCCGTCTCATAGTGACCCTGTACAGGGTTTCTGAGGCCGTAAATCTTTATGGGAGCAGAACGCCTCATCTTTCTCCCATGAACAGCTGACCTTGCTGTTCGCAGCCCGATTCGTACATAACCAGTACGCTATCAGAACTCCCTAGTTAGTGGATAGTGATTCTCAAATAAAATTTGACAGGTCCTCAATATGAGACTGATCAAAACAGAACAGGTCGGACCAGAGGAAGTGTGGAGTGCAGAACTCCATCCTTGCGCTTCTCTTTATCACCTATCAGGTGACATCTGGCTTCTCATCCCTATGGCTTCACAAAGGTCACTCTGTAAGCTGCTGGCCTATGAGATAACCTTGCTGACCCCCAGAGGCCTCTTTGAACTCTTGTCATCAGTGGTATTTCTGGGTACTTGTCCATGTAGCTCTGGTATGGTTGTTGTTGTTGTTAAGTGCTGTCGAGTCATTTCTGACCAATAGCAACCCTGTATAGGGTTTCCAAGGAGCAGCTGGTGAGCTCGAACCACCAACCTTGTAGTTCAAACATCTTTGTAGTCTGGCACATTAACTCACAGTGCCACACCAGGACTCCTCTGGTATGGTAGACACATCCATGTGTGCACATTGTTTGTGCCCATTCCATCTACAAGGGCTGTGTGTTCACATATGTGAAGTCCATGTGAACACACAGTTAGATCACAGTCTTGTTCTCTCTGAACACTCTCTCGGCTAGCTAGGCCTCTGCACTTCCAGGGTGCTGGGTCCTAGTAGTGCTCCCCCTCCTCCCAACAATGACTCCTGATCCCATCAGATGGCAAACCCTCTGCCCCAGCTCCTTGCCCTTTCCAAGAGTCCTGGACTTGTGAACACTGGCTGACCATCACTCCCTGGTGCCTGCCTCAGGACTGAAGCTTCTCAGAGCTTCACTCAGTTCATTCCCCAGAAGCACGAAGCGGCCTGGGTGCTGAGGGCCTGCTCTGCCCTTCTCTTGCCCTGCAGTGAGGTTTGACTGGGACAAATCTCTACTTAAAGTCTACTCTGGAACCTCCCAAAAGTGGCTTCCTGTCTGCAGTGACAACTGGAACGACTCCTACTCAGACAAGACCTGTCAGCAGCTGGGCTTCGAGAGGTAAAATCTAGTTCTGGGGTCCCGGCTACAAACATGTCTCAGACTCTTTGTTGTTGTTGTTCAGTGCCGTTGAGTCAGTTCCAACCCATAGTGACCCTGTAGAGGGTTCCCAAGGAGCAACTGGTGAGCTTGAACCACCAACCTTGCAGTTCAAACCGACTCTACAGTCTACAACATTAACCCACAGTGCCACACCAGGAGTCCTTGCAGGAGCGCCTAGTAAAAGAGCCCTTAAGGCAACTTAGACATTGGCTACCTAAAACGGGGGTGGGGCTATAAAGGCACAACGTGACTGGCTTACAAGTTTTCAAGAGACAGTTTAGTTTCAGAGTGTGCAGGGGAAGATAGAATCCCCACTGGATAGTTTTCATCTTGTCTAGTGGGTCTGGTGAAAGGAAATGGGGATAAAGCCCTTATGATTCAATAGTAAGTAATTGTTATCATGACTAATTGCAATTGTCACAACTGTAAAGACAGAAGTTTTGTAACAAAAAGGGGAGAGTAGTTAATCTTACATTCCAGGAACAGAGAACCCTAGGAGCATCAAAGGAGAAGAGCACTAGTGGAATGCAGGATTCTGTCCAGAGAAGCAGTGACACCAGAGATGGAGGCAGAGATGAGGTCATGGAGAAATAAAGCAGCTAGGGACTCTAGACTCATGGAAAGAGAGGGACTAGGTGCTGGCAGCCAGGAGGCAGGCCTGCAGAATGTGCCCTTTGGGTGTTTAAATGCTTATATATTCCTGAGTGTTTTTGTGTACATCCCCACCCCCACCCCCCAAAAAAATCAGATAATAAAAGCAAATACTGTTGAATGCTGCCACACAGAGGGAATTATAATCATTACAGTGAAACAAAATACAATAACATGAGTATAAAAACCAATGTTCTCTTATGTAAACTATCGTTCAATTCACAATAAAAACTTTAAAAGAGAGAGAGAGCCCTTAAGGACCAAAACTGAGGTCACTAGTTCAGAATCCCTTTGCACTGCTCAAAGGGACAGTGGTCTTGGGAGTTTTTCAGTCCAGTATAAACTGATTCCAGGAGGCCAGAGTAGTTATTTGCAGAGGAGGGGCTGTAAAGATATCAGACTTCTATACAGTTCTTTACCTCAAAGCATCTTCATGTCCATGATTATATTTAATTATATTTAATTCTGTGCAGTGGGCAGATTAATGGCAGGTCTTTTTCTCACATTTGTGAAATAGAAGCTCAGGTGGTACAAATATCTTGGGTTAGAATTAACAACAACAACAAAATATTAAGGTTGTTGGCAGAAGGGTTAGGACATCATGCTGAACTCTCTTTAGAAGAAGCACCTGAAAAAGTAGGGGTTAGAAGCTAGGACTTAGAAGTACCTCTCCTCAACTTCAGAGTTTCAGCCTGTAAAAGGTACATCAGGCGGTCTGCTTGACATCCACAGACATTGGAGGTCCTGTACCACAACTTTTATCAATGAGACTATGACTTTATGGGAATCTGAACTTCCTTTGGAGATTCTGACAATTTCTAGGTAATGCTGATGATGCTGGTCAAGACCCATACTTTATAAACTACTAGGGTGATGCATAGGGCTAGTGGGGCCAGTGGTGGAATATGTGGGTGGGGTTTTTACTTTCTAATGGAGGATGTGACCACTGTTCAGGTTCTTACAGCCTGGTTCCAACAGCAGGGGAGATGGGGACTCTAATCATGGACTGGGGGGTGGACTTTGTGCCAAAGTAACTGATTCTTCTTCTCCTCTCATCCCTTGCAGTGCTTACCGGACAACCGAGGTGACCCATAGGGACTTCTCCAGCAGTTTCTCAGTCTCTGAATACAACTCCACCATCCAGGAAAGTCTTTACAGGTATGATGGGGAGAGGCCAGGCTGACTATTCTGAGTATTCCCTTTGTGAGCAGGAAGGAGCATGAGGGGAGTTCAGAAGGGGTGGTCTTTGAGTCTGAAAGCCACTCTCCCTTGGTCTCTCTGGGACTTAGCCTCCAGATGTCCATCAGGGACCCCTCAGAGATCATCTTCATTCATTTCACCACCTCCTGTAGTTGAGGTTTGGTGCAGATAGGACCTTAGATCCAGGATGTCCCGAGATTACCTGGTTTCCAAGGATAACTAATAAACTTTGGGGCCAACATTCAGCCAGGTGTTTGAACTGAAAGTCACTGCAGAGAGCAGACTGAAGTGGGGAGGGAGAACATCGCTGGTGTTGGGAATGATGTTGTGATGCAGCAACAGGCTCCAGATGCAAGTGCCCAAAGACAAGAGATTCATCCGGATGCATCATTCTCTAGATGAGCCCCACCATCATCTGTGATCTTTGGCATGCATCCCCATGGAGGGGAAGAGTGAAGGGCACTCCACCAGCTAACATTGTGTACCTTTGAGAGGGGAGAGAAGAAACAGACACCAGTGGAAGAAGAGATGTGAGGGCGGGAAGTGAACTAACTACACCCAGCAGAGCAGTGAAGAGCTATGTTGAAGGAGCAGTGGGTGGCCACCTGTTTAGTTGGGTTTATGAAGTCATGGGTTCAAAGGACATGAACCTAACCAATGTGTGCAATCCACCTCAAGAAAACTGAGGTGTGAATGGAGAGTAATTTCACTTAGCCATTCCAATTCCTGGAGAAAACACTTGTAGGGCTTCCTTGGAAATAGGGTAGGAACCAAGCAGAAGTCAATTTGGAAAGATTTCCTGGAGGAGATAGCTGATTTGTCTCTTTTCCCATTTTATGTCTCCTCCTGCAGGTCTGAATGCCCATCCCAGCACTACGTCTCTCTCCAGTGTTCCCGTAAGAAGATGCTTCTTGGATTGTGGCCTACGTGGGGTGGGAGTCAGTGGGAAGAGGACTAGTGCCCCTCTAGAAAGCACTGGGGCCATTCCTTGGCAGCTTTGCCCTTCCTCCACTGACTCTGATAAGAGCTCAGCCCAGCAACTTGCCTCATTCCAAGGAAGCCATTTGAGTCTCCTAGGTTCTGGGCAGAGGGCAGAGAATTGGGAGAGCAGGGTCTGGGCCAGCTTAAAGCTCCTGTATCAATAGACAAGGAACTAGATCAAGATCAAGAGCCAATATTTACTGAATACCGTCTGCAAGCAGGGCACTGTGCCTATCTCTTTACAAACATTATGGTATTTAATTCCTATAATATCTCTATGAGACAGGTGCCATCCCAAAACCAAAAAATGTAACCCATTTCTGTCAAGTTGATTCTGACTCATAATGGCCCTCTAGAACAGAGTAGAACTGCCTTACAAGGGTTTTGAAGCTGTGGTCAGTACAGAAGTGGACTGTCACATCTGTATCCCACAGAGCAGTCGATGGGTTCAAACCACCAACCTTCTGGTTAGCAACTGAGTGCTTAACTATTGTGTCACCAGAGATCCTTCCAAGTATCATTACTGTCCACTTGTGTATATGAAAACTGAGATGTTTAACTTGCTTGAATTGGACAGCTAATAGGTGAGGAGCTGGTATTTGACCTCAGATCTGTTATTTGTTCCCCAATCCAGTGTTCTCATGTTCTCAGTAATGATGGTGGGATGCGCTCTGCCCTGTAGATTGGGCACCATGCTGTGGATGGAGTACACACCCTCTCAGACCACCACCACTTTCTCATTTTCTCCCCATCAAAAACAAAAGGACACATATTGGAACACACTCCAAAGACTGCCCGGCTTGTCCATGATTGTGTAGGATGACTCACTCCCGAATGTGATTGGAAATGTTCCTTGGGATGAAGTGTTCCCAACAGCTCTAATGGAATCTTAGGGAATCATGTGGGCACAAACCCAGCCTGCACATCATGGGAAATGTGTGGCACTGTGGGATAAACACTGAACTACTAACTACAAGGTCAGCTGTTCAAACCCACCAGCTACTCCTTGGAGACCCTATACAGTGTCATTATGAGTAGGAACTGACTCTACGACATTTAAGAGTATAAAGGAACTTCAAAGAACTCAAAGAAAAATGGAATTAAAAGATCATGGAATTTTTCCATGTGCATTTTGTATATGATGTCTAGATAGTAATCTTAATCAGAATGCTTGTCAATTTAAGATCATGTTCAAATTGGTTGACTTTTCTGAGCTCCTGGCAGCATCCCTAGGATTCACCAATGTAACTTTTACACCTGGCTTTGTGCCCAAGGCACCAGGCACTTTGTAAACATTTGTTGAATTGATGCAAGAATAACTGAGTGGGAGGAAAGAGGAACCTTCCCAGGATCAGAGTTCCTACTGGATGATTCTGACAAGCTAAACCACAATGTGCAGCTCCACTTTGGTAGGGTGAGCAGATTAGGTGAACACAGTAGCATCCAAGGGTGAGTGTCCTTTGGGAGGGGGCTGTCAATCCTGTTAGAGTCTGGGAAGCATGGCTGAGACTCTACAGAAGTGGGGTTCATGGTCTGTTTCTTCTGCTTCTCCTGCAGATTGTGGACTTAGGGCCATGACTGGGCGCATCGTGGGTGGGGCACTGGCCCCAGAAAACAAGTGGCCTTGGCAAGTCAGTCTCCACTATGGCACCACACACATTTGTGGGGGCACGCTGATAGACGCCCAGTGGGTGCTTACCGCAGCCCACTGCTTCTTTGTGTAAGTTTCTGATGGGATGGGTGACTTGATGTTGGTCAGGGGATCTCCAGGAAGGGGCTGAAAGCAGACTGTATTCTCCAAGAAGGAACTGTTTGGGTGTGAGTTGACCCCCACTGGCTAAGAGGCAGTAGTTTGCCTTGAATGATCACTCAAGGATCTTGATTTTCAGTTGGTATTGATCCCAGGAATATGAATTGGGCATACTTGTTCTGAGCTAGGCTTAGGGATGAGAAAATACTGGGAGAGTGACAAGTGACAAGTCTCTGGATGGTACAATGGTTGTTGTGTTTGGCTGCCAACCTCTGGGTGGACTCAAACCACCAACCTTTTGGTTTCCAAGCATTGAAAACTCTATAAAGCACAGTTCTACTCTGACACGCATTGGGTTGCCATGAGTTGAAATCAATTCAACGCCAATTGGTAAGGAAGAGTGAGGCAGGGAAGGAGGAGGAATTTGGGAACCTGTCCCTGAAGAAACTCTTTGCAACTGGAATGTCTAGGAAAGAAGCCAAACGAAACAAAACAAAAACCAGAACCACTGCCTCACGAATTGAGGGAGGGGGCTTGCCAGCAGGACAGTACACTTAGCTTCTGATAGTGGCCAACCAGACCCATCAGGAAGGGGCTCTAGCTTCCTCAGTAATGAGTCACTTTGTCAGGTCTAAGTCTGTTTCTACTGAGAATACTATTATTAATATCTGTCCCACCTACCTTATTTAATCTCAAGTGGGGAACAGAGAAGATTTCAAAGTTATCAGTTCCCATTAACTCCAACTCAAGATGACTGATATGTGTCCGAGTAGAACTGTGCTCTACAGGGTTTTTCATGATTGATGTTTGAGTAGATCACCAGGCCTTTCTTCTGAAGTGGCTTTGAGTGGTCTCAACCCTCCAACCTTTCAGTTAGCAACCAAGTACATGAACTGTTTGCACCACCCAGGGGTGCAGAGGAGACAGTGGGATGAGTGCTGCATAGAGGGCTTACTTACCCCCTTTAGTACTGTAAAGTGAGAGCAGTCAGTGCAGAATTTTTTTTTTTTTTTTTTTTAAGTGAGGGACAATTGTTTTGGATACTTGGGCCAAAGTAGAAGGCTCCTTCTAGAAGACATTTTATCCATCCCCCTTCCTCTTTTTCCTTGGAGGCCAGAATGGTCAAACTTCGTCTCTCATACTTTGGACATATTGTCAGGAGGGACCAGTTGCTGGAGAAGGATATCATGTTTGGTAAGGTGGAGGGTCAAAGAAAAAGAGGAAGACCCCCAACGAGATGGATTGGCCAAGTGGCAGCATCGATGGGGTCAAGCGTGGCAACAATTGTGAGGTTGGCCCAGGATTGGATAGTGTTTAGTTCTGCTGTGCATAAGGTCACTATGAGTCGGTACTGACTCGATGGCACCACCAACAACAACCTTCAGTTGGTGTTCTGCTGGCCACTGTCCGGATGGAGAAGTAGTGAGCTCTACCAGGTGAGTGACCGGACCATGCTATCCTGTGGTTCTTGCAGGACCCGGGAGAAGATGTTGGATGGCTGGAAGGTATATGCAGGCACCAATAACCTGCACCAGCTGCCCGAGGCAGCTTCCATTGCCGAGATCATTATCAATGGCAACTACACTGATGAGCAAGACGACTATGACATCGCCCTCATGAGGCTCTCCAAGCCCCTGCCTCTGTCCGGTGAGCAGATCATTTCCCTTGGCAGTCCGGCAGGTCCCAGCCCTCATACTTGGTGGTGTCTATCTGAACCAGTCTTGGTGACCCCAGAGCCTCAGGATGGCAGAAGTCAAAGACACCTGTTGTCGTTAAGTGCTGTGGAGTTGGTTCCTTACAGTTCAAACTGACCTTGCAGTCCTGCACATTGCTCCACAACAACACAGCAAAGACCCCTAGAGATCATTTAAATCAACACCTCTATTTTATAACTGGGGAAATTGATATCCAAGTGTGCCCCAAATGACATGCTGCATACTGTAAATTGGTGGCAAAGCCAGATTGTTTCACTGGTATTTATTGAGTACTTACAGGGGCCAGACACAGCTGCAGGCATCTTGCCTTTGAGGTGGTGGACGTTTGTTGTTGTTAAACTCTGTCAGGTCAAAAAGGAGGTTGAGAGAGAGAGAGTTAGTTGCCCAAAGTAGCTCTGGGATTCGATCCAGGTTGATGCTAACTCCCAAGCACTGCTCCTTCTACCCAGATCTTCAATGGGCAAATGCTTATGTGCAGTTGAGAAATACGGCAGTACACATTCACACAGTGAGTTACCCTGAAGTGGAAACTAAGAAGTTAATGAGGTTCTATAAGTGTTACCGAAATTGTGAGGAGATCGCTGTGGCCTGGGGACATCAGAGAGGATTCCATTCTTTCCCTCACTCATTTGTTCACTTATCACATACTTGCTTATCTACTGTATGGCAGGCCCTGCAGGTACAATGGCAAATGGGACAAAACAGAGGCATGCCTAAGGAGAGACATTATGGTAGAGCCAGTGATGCTGTGTTAGCAAAGCCCAGAAGAGCCATGGTGGCAAAGTCTTGACAGGCGAGGGGAGGCTTCCCAGAGAAAGGATTCTTCCCTAAAGAATGGACTTGGGGGTGGGAGTCTCCAGTATAAGTCAATTTGTACAGGTGGAAAAAACTAGAGGAGCATGTCCTTCAGAAGACTGATATTTCCGGAATCTTGAACTCTGGTTAGTCCAGCATTCTCCTGCTCTCAGCCTGTGAGTTGGTGCTTCCTGGAACCAGGGCAATTAGAGCATCCCAGTGGTATGAAGATAGGAACTTGGGGCTGAGCTTCACTGAAGCCTAGAGCCATGCCCAACTGAAGCATCCCTCTGTCCAAGAGCCTGCCTCCTCTTTCCTGTGTCCTTAGTCCTCCACTTGTCCTGTCTAAGCAGCATGAGACTGTAAGAGGTTCCCTGCTCCCAGCCCTGATACTTGTGAACATATAACATAGGGGCAGTCTGCTTTCTCAATCTTTTAAAATCCATTGAACTGAACATCCAAATCTCACTTCCTATCTTCCTCCCATTATTATTTGGAATTCCAAATTATTTCTAAACCAAGTGAAAGCTAGTGTAGGGTTGAATGTCCTTTTCACACTATGCTAGTCTCTCTTCGTACGCTGGTAGGCCCCGATTTATTTGATCCCATGGTCAGACCAGATGTCCTGATTTCTGGTGTAGAAATCAAGGCAGATTTTTTCTTAAAATCATTTAGTAGGCAAAGCACCTCAAAGTTACAGTGATTTCTGAGAAAATGTGTGAAAACTCACTGATAATTTAATTCCTCCATAAAAACAGGAAATGTAGTGGGATATGTAACAGTTTTATAAATTTATGGAGTCTCCGAATGACAAAGCACTAAAGTACTAGCCAAAAGTATGGCAGTTCAAACCCACTCGGAGGTGCCTCAGAAGACAAACCTGACAATCTCTGTCTGAAAACCCTATGGAGCAGTTTTACTTGGCACACGTGAAGTCACTACGTGTTTTAGTCAACTCAGCCATAACAAACACAATATTTTCAAGACTCTAAACCTCAAGGATCACCCTTCGTCTGTCAGTGTGTCATACTGTGGTGGCTTGTGTGTTGTGTTGTGATGCTGGAAAATGTACCACCAGTATTTCAAATACCAAGAGTCAGCCATAGTGAAGAGCTTTCAGTGGAGCTTCTGAACTGGGAAGAAGAGGTCCACTTTTGAAAAATTAGCCAATGAAAATCTTATGACAAGCAACAGAATATTGTCTGATATAATGTCAAAAGATGAGTCCCTCAAGTTAGAAGGCACTCAGAATCTGACTGGAGAAGAGAGCTCCCTCTTTGAAGTAGAGTTGACCTTAATGACATGGATGGAACAAAGCTTTAAAACCCTTAATTTGCTGATGCAGTATGATTCAAAATGAAAAGAAACAGCTGCAAATATCTTTTAATAACCAGAATGCTTAATACATGTAGGATGAAACTAGGAAAACTGGAAGTCATCAAAAATTAAATGGATCGATATAAAGATTGATAACCTGGACATTAGTGAGCTGAAATGGACTGGGATTGGCCATTTTCAATCAGACAGTATGCCAGGAGTGACAAACAAGAGGACTGATGTCACAATCAATATTACAAAGAAAATTTCAAGGTAGATCCTGAAGTACACTTCACAGTGATAGGATAATATCCATCTAGACCAATTAATACA